TAAAGTCATCTTATTTCTTTAATACTGTGTTGATACCTTTTCGTCAACTGACATAATTTAAGCTTGACTTGTCTACTCTTTTCCGCATACCATCGACTTTATATTCTCTTACCATCTAACAAACAAAAGGTTTTTGATCTACACAGTGCATTCTTACACATTTCTATTATGTTCTGTGTATGTATCTCTATTGTGTGTATATTTTGTTAAGTCTTCACAAATTGTCCTTAAAGTAAACTTGAGGTTATTTTTTACAGTTACCGTAACTGGATTACATGATTGAGAGTATACTTATTTCGGAAATCAATTAGTTTTTGTATGTCATGTAAAGTGATCAAATGTAAACTTTGATCGATCAAAATTTCTCTTTTCAATTATTTTTTTGGTTAGAACATAAATTCACATTACTTTGACATTTTCTAAATTATTTTTCTGTTCGATTTTGTCATTGCAAATTTACTTATTTTTTTAGCATTCTTTTTTTCCGTTTTAGTCTCGTTTCATTGAAAAATCTATTTTTAAATGATCGATCTAAATGTTTTACTGACTATTGATTTGTTTGATGATAGAGAATTATGAGATTAGGACTAGTAGTAGTAACCAACTCACGACCGAAGCTGCTACCTTGACGCGGTGGTCGGGCTTGCCTATCGTGATGACCCAACCGAGCTATATTGGCTGGAACATATGTTCCTGTAGGTTCTACCATGCCGGGCAGGTCGATCGGAGAACGGTAAGACTAAAAGCAGCAACTCAAGGTCTGAGGGCGAAGTCGTACTGCTGACTGTAGAGAGGTGTGACAGCAGTAAGGTGTTTCCCTCGGACAACCAGCATCTGGAGCCATGCTGCCTTCCCTCAAGGAGGGGTGAGGTTAGAAAAGGTCGACCCTAAAAATGTCACACCTCACCTTACCTCACGGATTTCTGTCTCCGGCGCTAAGGCCCTTTGAAGAACGGAGCTAACACATTAAAAACCTTTCTCGAAAAGGCCGTGCGCGACCGGCCTCAAGCAGTTGTCCCTTGGGCTCTGCGGTCACGCTCCCAGATCGTTAAGACCAACACTAATCTAATTTTCTTTTCGGGTTCCTCAAGACATACCCTTCCACAGTGTGGGCAGCCGGAAAGTGACACCAGCCCTCATACCCGTAACAGCGCACGAGACCAAGTTGGTCAGATTCAAATCCTTCCTACACCTCCTAATACCTCTCTTATCTCCATGACCAACCCTCCTCACGTCTCTTTATCACCTCGCACCGCTAGGGCAAACGATTCGAGTACGTGGAATGCTATTCCTGGTCTCCTGAAACCACGCTCTAAACTACACGTAGGAGCTTTTAACGTCCGAACACTGTGCCAAATAGGACAGCAGGCTTCCTTAGCTGAGACTTTGGGATCTCGCGCCATCGATATGTGCTGCGTCTCCGAAACGCGCATACAGGATCCGAGTAGCGTCATTCACTTGACCTCACCATGCCAAAATAAAGAACCGACTCGATTCACACTTCATGTATCTGGAACCCCTGACTCTGCTTCCCGTGGCCTCGCCGGCGTAGGTATAGCATTGAGTTCTAGGGCAGAACTAGCTCTCTTAGAGTGTATCCCAGTAGACAGTCGTTTGTGCGCTGCCCAACTAAACAGAACAATAAGGATCCGAAAAGATAGGGACACTCGTCGTTGCCTCTTCGTCGTCTCTGCCTATTCTCCCACTGACTGCAGCTCAGATGATGTAAAAGATGAGTTTTACAGAAAGCTCTCCGACCTTCTCCGAAAAGCTAGGCGCTCGGATGTAGTAATAATGGCCGGTGACTTTAATGCTCAAGTAGGTAAACTAAGCGATAGGGAAAGACACCTGGGTGGGTCTTATAGCATAGTGGCTCAAAGAACAGATAATGGCGACCGTCTGTTGCAGCTATGCTCAGATAACCGCCTGTTCCTTGCAAATACTAACTTTAAGCATAAGGAAAAACATCTTTTAACATGGCGACCCCCTAATTCGTCCCAACGTAGGACCCAAATAGATCACATCGCTATCAGCCACCGATGGAGGGGCTCGATAGAAGACTGTCGCTCATTCTGGAGCACATGCATTGATTCAGATCATGCTCTAGTACGAGCGCGTATCTGTCTGCATCTTACTGGACGTAGGAAAGGCGCTGCAAGGAAACCTCTTAGGGTCTTACTTAATGATAGTCAAGCTAAGTGTATATTTCAGGAACAACTAGGAAAACAGTTAGGCAGCCATGTGTGTGATGCCCACCCCGAGGCAGCATGGAATGATATCCGAAAAGCTGTGGAAACAGCAGTGATATCTGCTAGTACGGTAACCCGTAAGGTTAGGGAGCAACACTGGATCTCAGCAGCATTTATCGTACTGATAGATGCTCGGAAACTCATTCCACCTGGCTCTGAACACAATGAAGAGCGGAGTCAGCTTAAGCGCAAGCTGACAAGAAGTCTACGCAATGATCGTGAACAGTGGTGGGTAGCGAAAGCAAGAGAGATGGAAAAGGCAGCGGCAATAGGTAATAGCAGACAATTGTTCAAACTTGTTAAGGAAACCGGAATTAGGAACCCGACCGTTAGCGAAACAATCTCAGAGAAAGATGGACATATTATTCATTCTCAATCCAGGAGATTGGATCGATGGGCAGAACACTTTAGGGATCAGTTCAACTGGCCTTCAGCCACACTTCGGTTTCCCACGATCTCCAGTCAACCTGAATGGCAAGTTAATGTAAGTCCTCCGTCCCTTTGCGAAGTTGAAAAAGCCATAGGAAATCTGAAGCGAAGGAGAGCAGCAGACCCTAACAGGTTTACTCCTGAGATTTTTAAGGATGGTGGTTCAGTATTAGCAGTGGGATTAGCTGAGGTCTTAGGTAGGATTTGGGAACTGGACGTAATCCCATCTGACTGGTCTCAATCACTGATTGTGCCAGTCTATAAGAAAGGACAAAAGTCCTCTTGTGACAATCACAGAGGAATCAGTTTGACTAATATAGTGTCTAAAATATTAGCTTCAATAATACTTCGACGCCTAACCAAAGCTCGTGAAGAGCAGACTAGAGAAAACCAGGTTGGTTTTCGACCTGGACGTGGTTGTATCGATCAGATATTCACACTACGTCAGGTTCTAGAACACAGACACACATTCAGACGCCCCACAATGGTAGTATTTCTCGACCTTAAGGCGGCATTCGACTCTGTTGATCGTGAGGTTCTATGGCAGTGTTTGTCACTGAAAGGAGTACCAAAGAAGTACATTAACCTTATAAAGGCTCTCTACTCGAACACAACTGGTCGAGTGAGAGCTTATGGCGAACTGTCATCAGAATTGATTACCTCAAGTGGTGTTCGTCAGGGCTGTCCACTCTCCCCATTCTTGTTCAACTTTGTCATTGACGTACTTTTAGAGATAACACTCTCCTCATCTAAATTTACAGGGGTTGAACTTCTACCGGGAGGTTCACTTGTTGACTTAGAATATGCAGATGACATAGTTCTGTTTGGTGAAGACGCTGACAAAATGCAGAGTCTTCTGACCACTCTAAGCAACAATGCAAGCATGTTCGGCATGCGATTCTCTCCCTCGAAATGCAAAATGTTGCTTCAGGATTGGGTTGCATTGACACCCGAACTAATGATAGGGAGTGAAGTAATCGAGTGTGTCGACCGCTTCACTTATCTTGGAAGTCTCATCAGCCCTTGTGGTTTGGTGTGTGACGAAATCTCAGCACGGATACAGAAGGCTCGACTAGCTTTTGCCAACTTGCGTCATTTATGGTGTAGGCGAGATATCCGTCTATCAACCAAAGGACGGGTTTACTGCGCAGTAGTTCGTTCCGTCCTACTTTATGGCAGTGAAAAATGGCCGGTAAGAGTAGAGGATATTCGTAGGTTACTAGTATTCGATCATAGGTGTCTTCGAAATATTGCTCGTATATCCTGGGACTATCGAGTAAGTAACGCAGTAGTTAGGAAACGGATACTAGGTAAGGATGGCAAATCAATTGATGAAGTAGTGAAACTTCATCAGTTGAGATGTCTGGGACACGTGTTACGTATGCCCAACGACCGACTGCCTCGACGTGCTATGTTCAGTGGTATAGGAGTAGGTTGGAAGAAAGCAAGGGGCGGCCAGACCAAAACATGGCACAAATTTATGAAGTCACTGACAAGTGGACTGAGTCATGTTGGTAGGTGTAGACTACCTGGTTGGGGACCGCGAGATGACAGCAACCGATGGTTAGAGACCCTGAATGACATGGTTCAAAATCGTTTGCAATGGCGCAGGTGCATCCACTCTTTGTGTTCTCCCAAATTTTGATCTCCTCATTCCTCCTTGTCTCTTTTTTTCTCTTCCCAAATTTATTTCACTGTATTATACTCTTTAAATAACTTCTCCAAACATTAATTTTCCTGATTACTGCTTATACTCTTATTACCTCTACCACTACAGGATTTGAATCGACAATAGTATCTCTGTGCTAATGTGGTGTGGCAAGTCGAACTGATGTATTACGTACGAAGTTCTACGCTTTTACTGGCTGACTAAACCAACTCACTAATTGAGTCTATTTCATCGAAAACAATGTACTTCCATATCTTATAAGCCTTAGATCATTCACTTATCGACTGATTTTATTATCTACAGAACGATGATAAACCAATCAATGGTAGGATTGTAGACGGCAGATATTGACGAGTTCATATTAATCTAGTTGCCTAGACCACCATAATTGGGGTAGGTATCTAACCTATGATTCTGCTGTGCTAAGTTGATTGTTTAAACCTTCAAGTTAAGCCTGTGTATATTCAAAGGCTGCATAGTATATATATATATATATATATATATATATATATATATATATATATATATATATAGTCTTCTAGTTGAATGACAGCTTTTGGCCTGTTTTAAAATTCATCTGAGCTCCATTTAAATATTTCTTTTCTCTATCAGATTCCTCGTTATCTCTTATCTCTCTTTTTCTATTTAAACAGACGCAAACTTTTATTTCGAAAATTGCACGGGTAAGTAAATGCTTTTTCTTTAGTATATCCATGTTGATTGTGTACGTGTGTGTATTTTTTTCATTTTATTAGTGCTTACGTGATTGCAATAACTGTACGATATTACTTGTCTTAGTTATAAAATATTTCAATGAAAATATCACTACATTTAGTGTGCATTTTTACTCTTCCTGAACCTTATTTCATGTGATCTGTGATTCAGTTCGTTTTCTGTTTAACTTTTTTCACTTTGCATGAATTATACTTCAACATCTTGACGTCTCGTATACTATTGTGTCGTTAATATATATATGGTCAGTCAGCTGCAACATAGGATCAGGCACATATGTGCATCGGTCCAGATTGCCATATCGCATCAGCACAACAAGATGAACACAGGATTCATAGCAGTGGTTAGGTCAAAGGTGGTAATATATAAGACAAAGATTGCATATAGAGATATAGTACAAGAAGAAAGAATTGGTTCGTAGAAAGAAAGATATGAAGTGTTTTTAAACTCTTAGTTTAAGGGAAGACAGAGAGTGTATACACCGACGCCATTGTGATCGATTCTGAGCCATGTCACCAAGAGTCTCCAACCATTGGTTACGATAGTCACGCGGACCCCAACCAAGTAGTCTCCATCTACCAACATGACTCAGACTAGAAGTTAGTGACTTCAATCACTGATGCCACGTTTTGGTTTGGCTTCCCCTAACTTTCTTCCAACCATCCCCTACACCGGTTAACATTGCACGTCGTGGTAATCGGTGTTTGGGCATATGTAACACGTGGCCCAACCATCTCACTTGGTGAAGATTCACAACTTCATCAACTGATTTACCAACATTCTTTAACACCCTGCGTCTAGCCTCACTATTACTTACCCGGTGATCCCAGCATATGCGAGCAATATTTCTAAGGCATCTGTGGTCGAATACTAGTAACTTACGAGTATCTTCTACTCTTAATATATATATATATATATATATATATATATATATATTGATGTGTACTACTACTATTTTTGTAATCAGCTGAACTTGCATGCATATACATCTATTAATATTGTAGAAAATGAACATTTTGATGTAAGACTGCACAAATAAATTTCAAGTTTTCTCTCTGTAAAAGAATAACCAGATATTTTTTTCATGACAATATCTCCTTATTTCCCTTCTTTTCGTTGCTAGTTGAAATACGAAATGTATGCGTAAAAATGTAGTGAATGATAGGTAATCTATTCTCATATAAATAAAAGTAATTTGTGTTGAAATGAAATATAGGTGGTGATGAGTAAATGTACTTTAACTGTTACTACTGCTACTACAGTGTGGTGACAGTTATTGATTTATTCAGTCTGCGACCAATCAAGCCAGCAGGATAAGGTTAAACTTAATTCTTTCAGATGCGTTACTTGGGTGTGTAATGTAGAATGGCTTTTAATTTTGCTTCTCAGTAGATTGCTTTATAACTCGTTTATGTGACTAAATAGTATTAGGTCGAACTGTTCAAAAGTCTCCCATCTATCATGTAATTCCATTTGATCTAAAAACCCAGTACAAATAATCATTACATATTTCCACGGTAACAAACTTATTTTACTTACAATCCTAGATTTATATTATACATTTTTTGTTAAATATAGTATTTTTAGTTGTTGAATTCATGAGTTAATGTAAGCTAGACCAACATTGAAAACCTGGAAGCACTGGATGACCGTTTCGTCCTAGTATGGGACTCCTGTTGGGTAGAGACAGATATCTACCTCAGACAATGGATGAACAGTTTCTGAAGAGCATGGGTCGATTGAAGTTAGACACTAATACCGATGGATGACGGCTCAGTGGTCTAGAGATGAAGCGTTCACGCGCCAGAACGAAGGTCCTGGGTTCGAGACCGTGGATGTTCACTGTTGAGGAGTTCCATACTAGGACGAGATGGCTGTCAAGTACTTTCAGGCTTTCAATGGTGGTCTAGCTTACATCGAATCATGAACTCTCCACAAACCCCTATTGTGATCAAAATATAGTATTTGTCTCCTATTTATCTGTTTTTACTGGTTATATGTACATAAAACAGAAAATTTCGAACTTATTTGTCGTGATTCCCTTTATCTCACTGAAACATTTTTTTTCATGCATATTTGTATATATGTATGTAGTCATTTTACGATTTTTTTGGCTGTTGTCAATATAAAAGCATATTTTATCTATCAGTAGTGGTCGTCCAATCGATCTGTCTGGCAAAAATGAATGACTCATTTTTGAAAAAAGAAAACAGAAAACTGTTTCTTCTATTTTATTAACTTTATTACTATTGTTGATTGAATGTACTTTGTCTTTGTCCTTGCCTCTCCATTCCCTTTCCTCCTCCTCCTTTCCCTCTCTCTTGCTTATTTGGTTACCTCTTTTGCTATCAAACTTTGATATCAAATATTCATTGTCGTCTTTTTGTTAGTTAGTTTTGGTTCCTCTATGTGTGATCCATAAGAATGAATTCTACCTGTTCCATGAAATATAATCAAGTTGAACAGTAAATAGGGGATAGGAATCATTCTGCAATTTACTATATTTAATAAAGGGAAAAAAGAATTAATCGATTAGTAGTAATAATGATAATGATGGGAGTAGTTGTCGTTAATGACTCATTAATTCACCTGTAGCCTCAATGACCAGTTGAATATTTGTTGTTTTGTTAAACAAGGATAAAATAAGGGACAATTCAGGTAAACTTGTATTATTTTTTTGAGAATTTTTAATTTCCTGTTGTTGATATTCAGGACTGTAATTGAGCAATCTCTATTGCCATATATACATACATCCTAAATGGATCGTCTCTACATAGCTTGTGTTCGTTGTTTCAGCTCGCTTTTAGAGAAGTCATCCTGTTTTCGTATAACGAGAAGAAGGAAAAGATTATTGGGCAAGACTATAATTTGTAGATGACCCTTGAGCGACGCCAAAGTAGGGTTTAAAAAGGTTAGAAATTGTGCTGATAAATTAGAGTTGAAGTTTTCATTACAAACTGAGATCAGCTATAATGCGAAAATCCTATTTGGCCATATAGATGAATGAATTTCGCGCCAAGATCTAAGACTTTTGGTGGAGTTTTGTTCTCTGAGCTGGATGGTTTGGTCGTGGAGTTTTCATCGTTCTTCTGAACGACATCATCAGCACAAACTTCAGATAGAAGTGAAGTGTTCGAATTTCTCCATATGTGTTTCACAGCTTGTTCTGCGCACCTCGATGTTGATTGGTTCTTATTGACCTTAAATTTATCATTGTTTACTTCTTTGTTTTGGTTGTGTCTCCCATTGGTTTGATTTTTGTTCCTATATTTGTGCATGATTTTCTTGATTGGTTGATAAATTGGATTGATTTCAATATGTTTGTTGATTGCTGATTGACCTGAGTGCCATGCTTCTAAAAATTCTCTGGTGTTTTTGGAGTTTCCTCTGTCTAAGATTCCTACATTTTTCCAATCGAATGAGTGTCCGTAGTTATCTACGTGTATTGATATAAGTGAAGAGATATCATGGCGTTCGACTGCTAATTGATGTTCATGTAGGCGTAGGTGGAGGGGGCGTCCGCTTTGTCCGATGTAGTGTTTGTCGCAGTTGGTACAATTTATTTTGTAGATGATGTTTGATTTGTTTTCTTTTGTTATTTCATCCTTTGGTTTGCATAGGATTGATTGTAGTGATTTTGTTGGTTTGTGTGCCACACCTATCCCGAAGGTTTTCAGCAGTCTCGTTGCGGTTTCTGATATTCCTTGTATGTACGGTAGGGTGATCCTTTTGCTGATTTTTGTGTTTGACTTGGGTTCTGATGCTGTGTGCCGTTGGTGCTTTTTGATGAAGTTGATTGGGTAGCCGTTTTTTTGAAATATGTCCTTCAGGTATTTCTCTTCATTTTTTCGTGCTGCCGGTGTGCTGCAGTGTGTCCTCGGCCTCTTGAACAATGTGTGTACGCAGTTGATTTTGTGAGCTCTTGGATTGTTGCTGTTGTAGTTGAGAATTCGATCTGCATGGTTCGGTTTCCTATATACTTGAGTTTCCAGTTTTCCTGTGTCAGTTCTAGTGATCAATATATCCAAGAATGCTAGTTGGTTGTTTGACTCCTGTTCCATTGTGAACTTGATGTCATTGAAAACGTTGTTGATCAGTTTGTATGTGTTTTCCAGTTCATTCTTTTTGACGATGAAGAAGGTGTCGTCTACGTAGCGAATCCAAATTTTTGGCTTGATCACTGGTAATATAGTGGCTTCTAGTCTTTGCATCACTGCCTCTGCGATCAGTCCTGATATTGGTGATCCCATTGGTGTCCCTTTCGCTTGTTCGTAGATTTTGTTGTTGAATTGAAGATATGTTTTTAGGCATAAATCGATGAGTTCCAGTAGACTTTGAATTTTAAGCTTCGTGTATTTATTGAGATTTGTGTCGTTGTTGAGCAGCAGGGATATAGTTTCTTTTGCTAACTGTGGTTCAGTTGAGGTGAACAGTGCTGTTACGTCGAAGTATATCATGAGTTCGTGAAGTTCTGAAGTTTGTGCTGACGATGTCGTTCAGAAGAACGATGAGAGCTCCACGACCAAACCATCCAGCTCAGAGAACAAAACTCCACCAAAATCATCCACCTCAGCTACAAATCTTCTCCACCATCTCAAGATCTAAGACTCTCTAACTCAGATCTAATTAGTTCGTTCACATGTTATAGTATTGCCGATTATTGGCGTGTATTAGGGCCTGTGTCATCAGTCTGTTTATTATGGCAGCAGTTTTATTTTCGTGTCTGACTCACAACTCATACCTGATCTCACTTCAGCACAAATAGAACGTTACTATATATACACAACTCAATTATAAACGAGATGAAAATAAAGCAATAAAAAGTAAAGAATAATAAATCTGTAGGAGTTAAAACATTATAATGGTTTATAGATCAAACGAAAACTTATAAATAGGAGAATATAAAAATACAAGAATCCAAGTGTTTGATATCTGTACAATAAAATGGTAAGCAATGATTCCCAATTGGATAAGTATGAAAGTCCGACTTCGCTTAAATCCTCTTCGATATGACTGACACGTTATATGGTTTTTAAGATATTGATTTAAATTCTTGAATAAGGAAAGGATTTTTGAAGTGTTGAGTTTCCTAAGCAGGTTGTTTAAATTGTAAAGTTATTAAAGACTTCAAAAATCATTGTCGATACAATCTAGATAGGTAGTGAGTGCTTCGGGATCTATGTCATCCTGTTAGAAAAACCAATGCGATATGTTGTTTAAGTAAATTTTGTATTTTATGTCTTCACTGTCTAGGTAATTTACATGATGTATTAATAATATCCTTTGTTTTCTATCTTCCAGCACTGACAGTACTGTGTTAAGTCAAGGGTCTAGTTTCCATTCTTTACGCATTAGCAGGGTTAAAGATGTTATTCCTGATTCACATGATAGCTGTCGATATCCTTCAGCACTACCTCTTTCCTTACAAAATCACGAGAGTCCAAATACTCAAAGAATATCACCGTGGCAGCGAAATACTTTCAATAGCGAATCCATTCGATCAATATCCGGTACAACTCATAGCAGTCTTCATAATTTACCTTCTAGTGCATTGAACAATGTTAATTCTTCAATGTTTAACCAATCAGCATTACCTAATTCAGGTTATTCAACAATTGCATCTGTTCATGGCAAATCATGTTCACCAGAATCACATATTGATACTACTGATATGATAAAATCAAATCATGTTACAACTACTAGAAATTCCGGTGGTTATGCTAGTCTTAGTACGACATCTTGTACAGATAGTTCTAGTACAAATCATTTTCAAAACGAAATTCAAATTCACGAAGCATCATCCACAGATTCATGTACTTCCATTTTAATATCATCATCTGTTGGATCGTCATCATCACCAATTTTACATCGAATTACACGAAATATTGACGTGTTTTCTAACCAAACAAGTGGTGATATTCTAACAGAATACGATAATGATGATCCCAGAGCTACACTTGTCCCATCGATTGATTTAGATCCAGAGAAATTATATACAAATTATTGCTTACAAGAAGGGACATCAGTTAATTGTGATCAAATACGTCGTGATATTGATCGCCAATTTCCTTTCCATGAATTATTCAGTGAAAAGGGAGGTCATGGGTCAGTTCAACAGTCATTATCAGTCTGTCTGTCTGTATTTATTCTCTTTTTGTGTTTTTAATAGGCAAATAAATAAAGCTAAGTAAATTGCATAAACACATGCTCGTGTACCAGAGCTGATGAACTGCACGTACTTTTAAAGTAGTACTCACATGAATTGGTTTCAGCGGACACGAGTTATTTGTTATGATTAACGATTTACCACAAAAATAACTCACTTTAAATAGAATACAACCAATTCCAATTTTATTTTCATGCAATATTTTGTTTTTTCTCATTTTCATTCATACTAAGTCGGTCAGCTTTCTTTCAAGTCTTCTTGATTAAATGATAGTTCCTGCCTCAACTTCGATGACTAAATTTTTCTATCTTAGTATCATCATTCTATAACACTAGCATGTGTATAGACGATTGGATTAATTATTCTGTTCTATTTCCTTCCTCAACTTCCTAACCTTCTCTTAACACATTTCAATAATCCAACATACACTTATTATTATTATTATTATTATTATTATTATTATTATTATTAAATGTTGTTAATTTCATTAGAAATAATCGTTAACGGACAGTAAAGTGCAAGGCGGTTCAAATATTGCTAAGAACATAAAACAATGGTAACATACCAGTAAATATTTACAACTAAGTGCGCGTACTGTATTCACGGGTATACATATATATCCTCATTGTTTGATTGTCTCAGCAGAAATGATTTGCCGCCATTCTATTATGTATATCTAATTTTCTCGACAAAACACACTCAAATGGTTATGGGCTATCATGTCGTGTAATACTCTCCATGTGTGAGTGATGTAGCCGGTTAGGTTGATACAATAATAACTAACGGATTGGACTGAACAACACGAATAAACAATATACTAGAACTACTCTTTCCTCTTGGTACATTTTAGTTTAAGGTTTTTTAGATTTCACTTAGCTCTATGTTTGAGAAGTGTTGTAATTTGGTTGAAATACTATTATAGATGTATTTTATAACAAACCTTAACTTAGAAAATGTTTGGGCAGTTTACTCTGATTGATCTAAAAACATAATAAACTATTCAATAATACTGTTCGAACTATGTCACCTTGTCATTCAAAACATTTAAATGTTGGCATTTAATAAAGCCACTTCCTTTCGGTTATTTGATTTCGATTTACTAGTCGGTGCTTAAGTAATGATAATCGTCAAAGCACTGTACCTAATAACTTTCAAAACAGAAATGTTAATTACTGGTTCGCAATTTAAATTAACAATGGTATTATCCTATGAGAAAGCTTTTTAATATGACATATATACACATAAGAGAACAGGGTAATTGTAATTCATGACTAATTTGTTTCAGTCTTTTATCATTAAAAAAATGAAAATCGGAACAGTTATTTGTATTATAGACTAACGATAGTTGGAGAGCCATTGAAAGTCAAGGTACATTAGACGAATATTTCATTCTAGTATGGGACTCAGGTTACACGGGAATCTTTAAAGCAGTGATTTAAAATAGATTGGTCCCCACTTTTAATTTCGGTCAGTTCACTGTATGGTATGATCGATACTCAGTATCAATGATATATTTAAATTTCACCACTCAGATCCTTCCACTAGAACTTCAGTAATTCATCTCCAAGTTATTTAATAATGAGGACACAGTTATCGTTAAGTTGAATTGTGTGGAGTGCCCTCTGGTTTTCAGTGATTACTGAGATATCATTTTGTCATGAAGAAAATACGTTGAACAAATTGCAACGGTTCACCCAATGAAAATTTAAATTTTTCTCCAATTATTCATTTTAACACTTACCCGCAATCGCCGCCTTTATGTCTCTTTTATGTCGTTTGCAACTAAATGCCACTATATTTTGAGGTCATGCTCTTCTGCGAATCACTTCAGATTGACATTTAAACAAACCACTATTGTCTTTATAACAACTATCGCATATTATTATAGGAGTAAATTGTAAATTATTTTTAGATATTATATTCAATATTGATGTCAAATATTCACATTGTTTCTGCATAGAGGCCTAAAATAACGTAAAAGATTGCTTCATTTGTTAAATGGTTGTCTACCACGAAATCTATATATATATATATATATATATATATTTATTAATCCTGTCATCTTGTATGCTTAAATTTGCATACGCTTAAGTTTTTTTATAATTTATCAGTCTTGTTGAAAACAATATATTTTTTATGATAAATAAATGACCTGCCAACTTTTTTCTCTACTGATGTTTTTTCTACTGAGAAAAATGTTCAATAAACAAACGGAAAGATTTACGCGTATTCTTTGTGTTGCGACAGAATTAAATTATATATATATATATATATATATATATATATATATATATATATATGAAATGTAAATGGGCATATTTTTTTGATTGATTGCAAGACCACCACTACTACTACTGATTCACACACATTGTCATAGAATAAAAACTTCGCGAAAATCATAATATTGATTTGTGCGGTAATTTAAACATATGAAAAATCACCGCGCACTGTGTTGTTATCATATACATACGTTAGTTCTAAATCAGTTTGTGCATTGTGATTTGGTTAATTTTTCATAAATTGGATCCAGTCATATTTGTATCGCCTGTAAGATAAACAGTGTCGAATTCTTCGAATTTGTCCGAATTTTGTAAATAAAGCAAGTGGTTAAGTATGCTGTGTTTGTAAACACAGTTATTAATGAATTTGTTAGCGTTTCGTGTTACTTATGCAATATAGTGTTTCGACCAAGGTCCTACAACAGTTATTTAGTATTTATTGTGTCTATAACTAATAATACAGTTTGAAAATAACATATAAAGATAATTATGTGATCTTTCTAGGAATAATTAGATGGTGTTCAAACAGTTTTTTGGTCAACCGGTTATACGAAGTTAGTACGACCTCCAGCAAAATGGTAATAAGCTTAGTAATAGCTAGCTAGATAATTATATATATATATATATACCATACAAAAACTTGCCGTCTTTCATTATTTTATTATTTTATTTTAGTCAAGAAAGTTTATACACCTTACTAAAAGCTTATACAATTAGACATCCGGAGAAAGGTTACTGTCAAGGTCAAGCCCCACTAGCAGCTGTCCTACTCATGTTTATGCCGGAAGTTGATGCCTTTTGGACTTTCAATGAAATTTGTGAACGTTATTTAGAATCTTATTATGATGATGGTCTTGTAAGTTATGGTTTTTGCAGTTTTGTTTAATTTTTTTGGTATTTCTGAGTGTACTGAAGTCGATTAAATTGAAAAGCAATAAAAAGAAGATATCTGTGTTTCTATATTGTTTTTACATCAGTTGAACATTAAAGTACAATCTTTTGGTTCTTTTCAAACAAATAATGTTTTATGATTCGTTAAAAGTCAAAATTAACACCATACGAAATAAAAGCTAATGATGAATCAAATATTTAGTGATTAAAGTGTTCGGCATTCGATAATAAAGTCTCACTATTTAGAGTTCAGGCGTTTATGTGTTTGACTGAAGGTTCTTTATTCAATTTCGGGTGTTGGGGTCCTAGACCCGCGCTGTTGTGGAGTCTGAGTCTAGGACGAAACCGTTTGGAGCTTCTTGGTTTTCAATGATGTTGCGCCTAAGATCAATTTATGGTTTATATCACACAGTGAAGTTTCAGATTCAAACCTCGTTCTATTTGATCCGGTTTGACCAGCCGCGTAATACCCCACTAATCTATCTTAGGCACATAAAGTGTGACCTGGAGTCTGATTTATAAATCTGATCCTGGTCATTAAGTTTCATTGTGTAGAATATGGCTAATGATATTTGTGTAGTTACTGGTTTCTTCTTTGTTTCTCAATTAGGAACGAGTACAAATTGACGGGGACGTCTTATACGCGCTTCTTAAGTCGATACATCCTCCAATATACAAATTTTTAGTAAGTTGTTTTCTGAAACATGTGTTGGATTTCTCTTAATAACCATTTTGCTGAGTTCATTTAGTTTTTAAAAATAGTGAATTATCAAAAATTTTTACTTTTAGTGAATGCAGTTTTTCACTGCTTTTGGTAAATTCCGTACTTTGGTTCAGTCCTGTATGAGTGTATAATTGTGTGTGAATACTGTCGTGAAGTTTCAATCTTAGGCAAAGTAATTTCACAGAGCTCATTAGTTTAGTTAACATCAGCTTGTGACGAAAAATATCTTTCTTCAAATTATATTTTTATTCACACACAATCGGTTGCTTTCTTGACTGACACAGAAGTTTTTGTTATTGTTGTCATTATTATTTTTCATTACTGACCTTGTTTATCAATCAAAGTAGAATGACATAGCTATTCGCTAGATAAACAACATAATATTCACATGACTGGAAGGAAAAAGTTTAGAAGTAAACATTGCAAAACAAAACAGAAAAGGATTTACGCATCAACTTATTCAGTAGAATGAGCTAAACTTTAGTTGTATATTGAATCAAATGTTCTATGAATTTACTGTTTGTCTGGAATTGAAAAACATTTGTAGACAATACACCTGTCACACCCCTGTTTCGAATGTTTAAAACGGACCTGGAAGTCCTTATATGTTATGCTCTACGATCTTGTGAATACACATTGTTTTTATTAGCAATCATACGAACAGTGAGTAGACGATCGTAAATCTTCAGAAAAATCGTACATTCAGTTTTTTCATTAATACTGGAGGTTGATCGTTTTCGGTTGCGAAAATTATGTGCTTTTTTTACGATTCACTAAATTATCTTCTGTGGTTGTTTCGTATTCCCTAGGAAAAATGGAGGATGAATTAATTTTCTTTTTAGTTACCGAATAAATCTTGCTTTGTCTAGTATTATTACAATCACCACTGGTGCTACTACCAAGTCATCATTTCATTTTTAGTGTAGCGAAATACACAGTTGCTTAAAAACAGGAACTAGACTTAATGTAGATAATCACCAAGAGAATACATATCGTTTTAATTAGTATACATTAATGTTTACGTCATCATCTACTAAATTCACTTTTATTAGTATATTTTCTTAATTAACAGACCATGTTATGTGTGTGTGTTTCCCTTGTAGTCATCCTAATTATCAGCTGATACATCTTTTTGCACGTTAGAGATGGATCAGGATGAAAGTTTCTGAATGGTCTAGTTCTTTACTACTGATAATCATTTCAAGGAGATAACTATTTAAACTGTAGACTCCATTAATTGTTACTACGTTTTTCTCATTCTTGAAAGCTGAATACCGATGATAATAATAATGATAATAATAGATGCTACTATTAATAATAACTGTATTTACTCCTCTATGTTTGGTTAAAGAGAACAATTCTCTGCACAAAATATGCTTTTTGTAAATTGTTCCTGTTCTATTTAAAATTTATATATGTATGATTCACTAACTGGCTGTCATTCATTTCGATACGTAGGCGTTTACTACTAACTTTGCTTTCACAACAATCTTTCCCATTGCATAATTTTATTGAGGTATAATTTCCAATCTAGCTTCATTTACCAACGATTTCTCTGACAGTAATCAGCTTCGTCATTTGTTGTAAACCTCTTGTTAAAATCAAAAACGTGTCAGTAGATTAGGTGGCTATCAACTGAAACGAATTAATACACAAACGTGTATTGAAAGATTTGCATATTTAAAAAATAGTGAACTGGAAATACTGTTCTCGCTCCAATTAAAGTTCAGACAACTCACATTCAATTTTATTTTTTTATATACTATGTCACTTATCTACTCTCTTTTATTCTCACTTTGTGTATCCTTATTTTTCAATTTATATAGCAGCTCGCCTATGGTGGAAACCCCGTTCTATCTAAACGATGTTGAGTTACCAACTAGTCGGATGTTGAATGCTACCACCGCATAAGAATACTGTAACAATCTTTCTGAAACTACCTACACCACTCCATTTGGATTCCTTAAGCGTTCGCATACTAGTGCAGATCGGACAACATATAGGGTTGGCTATGTCTTTAGAAAGTCTTAGTATCGACTTCTGTTGTCTATCCTAAACCAGTAATCAAGACTCTAGTTAAGTACTACAAATTTACTCTCCATCTGTCGTTTCGAAAAGCTTGTTTTACGTGCATTTATCTGGGAGCACTATGGCATCTTCGTCTGGTTGTCCTGGTATTAGTGTCGCACTAAGCGCTAGAGCTGAAGCAGCACTGATCTATTGGATCCCCATTAACAGTCGGTTATGTGCTGTTAGATTAGAGAGTCCCATCAAAATACGAAGAAATCAGTGTGAGAAACGATGTCATTTTGTCACCTCCGCCTACGCTCCAACAGATTACAGCCCAGGTGCAATCAAGAATGAGTTTTACCATAAACTAACTGTCCTTCTACAGAAAGTGCGTACGACAGATATTGTGGTACTGGCCAGAGACTTTAATGCTCAGATTGAGGGTCTAGTCACAGAATTCAGTCATTTAGGTGGTCGATGAGGACTTGTTGGTCGCAGATCAGATAACGGTGACCATCTACTGCAATTGTGTGCAGACTACAAACTGTTTCTGGCTAGCACTGACTGCCGGCACAGTCATCACCGCTGTGCTACCTGGCGTCCTCCCTCTTCTTCCTGAACCCCGACTGAGATTGATCATATCGCTATCAGCTACCTCTGGCGTAGTTGTGTATAGGACTGCTTTTCCTTTTGGACTACCTATCTAGACTCTAATGATGCTCGTGTCTGCACTAGTCTTATCTTACGTTTCAGTGGCTAACAAATTCATCGTGCTAAATTAATCGATGTCAGCAAATTGGTTGCAGCTTCTGTTGAAACTAAATATCAAAACGAGCAAGGTTCAGGGCTAGCTACCATCCCACCAAAAAGTATAGATGAGTATTGGTTACAATTGCATGACGCCATGAAAATGGAGAGTAGAGTCTCTTTCGGCCTCGCGAAACGTCCCGCTTATAGGTACTGGGTTTCTACAGGCTCCTTACAACTCATTGAAGTCTGGCGGTCTACTCCGGGTGACCGTTAGTTTGACCACAAACAAAGGATATTACGTAATGAACTTGGATAAAGCTTGCGTGAAGACCAAGAAGCCTGGTGGTGGGAGTGTGTCAATGAGTTGGAAGCAGCAGCTAGTGTGAGCGGAACAATCTGTGAAGGTGATAGGATGCCAATCACTAACATCTATCGACGTCTTGGATGGTGGGCAGAATTTTTCGATGAGCAATTCAAGTGGTCTGATGCCCCAGCAACATCAGTCAGGCTGTCCTGCCCTCTGTGGCCTGTGACGACTGATCCACCAAATGAGGCGGAAATCCGCAAGGATCTCCAACTCTTGAAGCGCTACAAATCACTGGGCCCAGATGACTTACCTCCGACCCTTTTTAAAGATGATGGTGACTTTCTGGTTAAGCAACTGACTGAGTTGTTTACAAACGTTTGGCAGTTAGAGAGTGTTCCAATATCGTGGAATGAGTCGATAGTTGTCCCTATCTTTAAAAAGGGTTCACGTCGTTTCTGTAACAACTATAAGGGAATAAGTCTTCTTCCGATTGCGTCCAAACTATTGGCTTATGTCATACTTCAAATCCTGCTCTACTTAGTCTGGCTTGAGCAGCTGGGTAATATAACTAAGCCTCACACTAAAGATGTAGCTCCAAGTTAAGTACATAAATATATACCTGGTAAATGAGCTAATAATGATATCTGCAGTATATTCTAACTTTTTCTTACCATTGTTATCTGTTAGCGGGATATAGATTGGATTAAGGGATGTTCCGTGCAGGATTTGGAAAAGACTTTAGAATCTGCTTGTGTAAAATTTATAAATATAGTAACGTATTGTTTTACTTCCATTCAACCTTTGTTCATTCGAAATATAATTACGTTCCTGTTCAAATGTATTCTGATTTGAGGGAATTATCAAGTGAAATGGTGTCCAAAGAATAGTAAGCGATAAGAGTAGCTGGGTTGTTATAAGAGAAATCATAACACCATCTTATATAAATTTTTTATCTATCTATCTGTATTGTTCCAAGTCGGTATTCATAAAATTTATTTCCAAACAATTTTTGTAGCGAAAATATTCAGTGGAACCAAATCTTGTCGTTTTGGAATGGTTCATGTGTGCTTACACACGAACTTTACCTTGGACAGCTGTATTAAGAATATGGGACTTGTTCTTCTGTGATGGTATGCTAAATATTGTATATTTTTTACTAATATTCCATATCTTCATATGTATATGGTTTATTTATTCATCATAGAACTTGACATGTGATTTACTATGAAATGGATACGAATTCATTTTATTTATAAGTGGTTATAAATTTTACTGCAGACTACTAGACTATTCAAATGGTGTATTTAAAATCATGTAATATTTCTAAAAGCTTTTACAGTTATTATGAAATATATACATAATGTTTATGTAACTCATCTATCAAATATGAGCTTTGAGCTACACTTATAAAACCATTTTGTAGCGAATACCTTCAGGTAACCATTCAAATTTGAGATTGCTCTTGCAAAACGTTCAGCGAAAATTAAAAGTTCAGTTAAGAATAGTATGTTAAAAAAACCTGGTTATGATTAGTTTCTAAAGTTTTTGTGTAACCGCACAGTGGATTTAACGTAGTGTGCAATGTAAATGACCAGAAATGCGTGCTCCATATGCAGATTGTGTTTGAGCGTGCGTGATTTGATTCAGGGCATATTCAGGAGTAGTTTTGTGATTATAAGGTATTCTCGAATGTTTACGGAATGTTCTAACCCTTATGTTTTTAAACACAACTTCTTAACCTTAACTCTTGACTGTAACCGGTCTTCTAATCCGTAATACTAATCTTTTTCCATTTATTTATCACCTTGGTACTATTAATCTATCATAATTTTATTGTTTCTTTAACCACAAATTGATTTGTCACCAAACCCTGTTTTTTGATTGGCTAATCAACCATTTAGGGTTGTCGTTATAATATTATATTATCACTACATTTTCTGTTTGTTTTTGGATCAGTGAGTGTGATTCTATTTATCTGCTAGGAAGTAAAGTTAGTAAGTCGGGTTTCGAATACACTGCTCTACAAATTGTATTACAGATAAAGATAAATAAATACTAAAAACTCTAAAATGATTATTGCTTATATAATTACTGAAAAGATGCTAATCTGTATTCCTTGTGAAATCATTAACTGTTTGTAAAATGGCTTAAGTTGTTCACAATTGACTTTTACGACATTTTTTCAAAAATGTACACTGAATAATTCGATGGCAACACAAAATATGAGTCTTAGCAGGATTCGAAATTCAGTTCTGTGGGTTACTGCTTCTAGTTTACCAATTAATGATCAATATTTTTCCAAAAGCTATCAACTATACTTTATTATTATTATTATTATTATTATCATTATTTGTAAGCGTTTTCTCGTTGTTGATATTCTAAACTAATTTTGAACAGTTTTTTGGGGGTATAGGCTCTCTAAAAGTGATCAGTACTTTCTTCACTTACAGATAATTATAATTTGTATATTGACTAGCAGTGAGATCCATTACTCGGATTTCGTCCCATACAAACTATGGTTAATTTATGAATATCGACAGTATTTCAGTGCATTCCATCAAAATGTGTCTATACGTTAACAGAAAACGATCAAACTCATTCTCTATCATCGACAGCAACCTTTGCAGTTGTAATTAAGCTCATGGTTGTTGAACTGGTTATGAGATATTTTAATTCCTTTAGCTTAGTGAACAATACGCATAACAGGTGTTTAAGATGATAAATTCTAGGTTTACGTCCTAGTGTAAACATTCATATTGTGATAAATGGGTACATGTAATTTACTAGTCCTAAATAGGACGAAAAGCGCTTTGTATATCCCACTGCTAGCCACTATTGAAAATATTAAGAATTATGCTTGTTTTTTCTTTACTTCGTCCTATTGAAAACAATGTTTCAGACCAACGTACTGACAACCTTTTTATGCATGAAAGAATAAAAAGGACTTAAGTTAGCATATAGACATTTTCATATCTTGGTAATTACAACACTAATTTGCTCAAATTATCTTTTTTTCAGTAGAAAAACTTATCGAAGTCAGCTTTCACGCATGTTAATTATATTTTTTTCGTAAGCAATAAATTAATCTTTCATCTTCTTTAAATATCTTATTCACAACTATCCATCACGAGTATGAATTCATTATAACCTGCTCTATGTGTGAAGAAACACAAATATTGTTTTTAGAAACGTAATTGCCACGAAGTCTGAACACTTGTTGCTGATAACTATGTCAGTGTTTTTTTCCTCTAAAGTAACTTTAACATAAAATATGTTCTTTTTTCTCTTTTTCCCTTCTTTCTTTCTATAATTCATACTATATTCATTTTTAGCATAAGAGGATGGTAGAGGTTGTTGAATTGTATAGTTTATATTATGGATTAACATCAACCAACCATTGAAAAACAGGAAGCGCTGGATAGATTTTTTATTCAAATATGGGATTTGTTAGCCTGTCTATACAGTGTATGATCTGGCCTCTTTCAGTTGATCATGTCCAGAGACTCTTTGTGTCTCATTACTGTTATCTTCGAAGAACTGCTGACATCCAGTAACAACTTGCATTAATAATGCTGGGGTTCGGCAACGTGAATTCAGGTACTATAACGATAGTTCACCATCTTCACACACCGGCTTTAATGATCTGGACATGTGTTGCGAATTCCATCTTAGTGGTTTTCACACGTGTATCGTCTCCGGATGTTCGGGTGCGATGGCAAAAACAGTGAGGTGGTCGTTTACGGCATGGTGTCGTAGTATGGGAGAATCGTTCACAGTACGAAAATGCATTCACTCCTTATCTCCCCCTCGATCTTGAATTCCAGTGTCCCTTCGTACATACCTTTACACCTTGACATTCTAAGTCATTCCTGTGGTTTAGTCTTTTTTATCATTCCTGTTACATTATTTTGGTCTATTTTGTTATTTTCATCTCATCGTGGTAATCAGGTATGGCAACCTTGATCAGACCATATTTGTTCTAGGTTCTATGTTGATAATGTTTGTCTATCACGAAATCAAACTATATAAATCTGGGATCTATCAGTTTATTATAACTTCCTGGCTTGGGATTCTAGAGATGATCGAACTCAATCTTTTGATATGTTATCAGATATAGCTCGCAATAGAGACCGATTGCGATTCTACTGTGGTTTTATTTTACATCATTCATAAAAACTGAACTTGGACTCCTATTAGAATACTACTCCTCTTCATCAGCCGACCGTTGTTGCTACCTTAACGTGGTGGTCGGGCTTGCCTATCGTGATGAAGCAACTGAGCTATACTGGCTGGAACAACCGTTCCTCAAGGTCCTACCATGTCAGACAGGTCGGTTGAAGAGCGGTAAGACTAAAAGCAACAAACCTAAGGTCCGAAGGCGAAGTCATACTGCTAACTGTACAGAGATGTGACAGCAGTAAGGTGTTTCCTTCGGACAACCAACATGACAGCGATGCTGCCTTCTCACAAGGAGGGGTGTGGTTAGAAAAGGTCGACCCTAAAAATGCACACCTCGCCTTATCCCACGGATATCCGTCTCCGCCGGTAAGGTCCCAAAAAGTACGGAGCTAACACAAAAATTACCCATAAAAAGGTCGTGTGTGACCGACCTCAAGCAGTTGTCCCTTGAACACTGCGGTCACGCTCCCAGGTCACTAAGACCACCTCTAGCCCAATTTCCTTTTCAGGTACCTCCAGAAGAACCCTTCCACGGTGTGGGCAACCGGGAAGTGATAACCGCCCTCATACCTCTAACAGCACTCAAGACCACTGTATTCGTAATCAACCTCCGTCTTCACTTCCTATTATTGCTCCTACATCGACTTTCAACTCTAAACTTCCTCTTTCGGCTTCCTCCTCAAGTTTCACCATAGCCAACGATTCTAGTGCTCAAAACAGTCCCAGGTCTACTGAAACCTCGCTCTAAACTACACATTGGAACTTTCAACGTACGCACTCTATGTCAAATCGGTCAACAGGCTTCCTTGGCTAGAACCCTAGAATCTCGTACCATTGATGTATACTGTGTCTCTGAAACACGCATACAGGATCCCAGTGTGGTCATTCACTTGACCTCACCTCGACAAAACGGAGAGTCAGCGAGATACACCCTACGTGTATCTGGTGACCCAACGGCCAGCTCTCGTGGGCTGGCAGGTGTAGGCATAGCACTAAGCATGAGGGCGGAACAAGCACTGTTAGAGTGGATCCCCGTTAACATTCGTTTATGTGCTGTTCGGCTAAACGGCTCCGTAAAAACTCGGAAGGATAGGGACACACGTCGTTGCCTTTTCGTCGTTTCTGCCTACGCTCCCACTGACTGCAGCTCAGATGAAGTGAAAGATGAGTTTTACAGAAAGCTATCTGAACTTCTTCAGAAAGCTAAACGCTCAGACATAGTACTCGTAGCAGGTGACTTTAATGCCCAGATAGGTCGTTTAAACCAAACAGAAAGGCATTTAGGTGGGTATTTTAGTATTCCGGCACAACAAACAGATAATAGTGACCGTCTGCTGCAACTGTGCTCAGACAATCGTTTATTTTTAGCAAACACAAATTTTAAGCATAAGGAGAGACATCGTCTAACATGGCGACCCTCTACACCAAACCAACGATGGACTCAAATAGACCGTATTGCCATCAGTCATCGTTGGAGAGGGTCGGTACAAGATTGTCGTTCATTCTGGAGTAGCTGCTTGGACTCCGACCATGCCCTAATACGGGCACGCATCTGCTTGCACCTCACTGGACGCAAAAACGTCTCAGTAAAAAGACCCATTAGAATTGAATTGAGTAACGAGAAAACCAAAAGTAGGTTCCAGGAACAACTGAGGTCACGATTAGGTAGTTCTGAAAACGAGGCTGACCCAGATGTTGCTTGGAAAGATATTCAAGCAGCTGTGGAAGCAGCAGTGACATCTATTAGTGACTTAAACCACAGAGTTTCAAAGAACCAGTGGATTTCTTCAAGGTCTATCACACTGATGGATTCTCGTAAACTCATCCCATCAGGCTCTGAAAATGATGAAGAGTGACAACAAATCAGATCTAGGTTAAGCAAAAGTCTAAGGAACGACCGTGAGCAGTGGTGGGCAACGAAAGCAAAAGAGATGGAAAAGGCGGCGGCTATAGGGAACACAAGACAGCTCTACAGACTAATAAAAGAAACTGGAATTAATAAGTCAAGTGTAAGTCAGACTTTCGAATGAAGACGATACCCTCATCTGCTCTCAGTCCAGACGTTTAGAACGATGGGTGGAACATTTCAGAGAACAGTTCAACTGGCCTTCTGCTACTCTACAACTACCCTCCATTTCCAGACAGCGTGAATGGAACATTGAAGTAGGTCCCCCAACTCTAGCGGAAGTTCAAAAGGCTATAGTTAATCTGAAACGAGGAAGGGCAGCTGGTCCAGATGGATTGGCTCCAGAGGTCTTTAAGGATGGTGGTCCAATTTTAGCGATTAGGTTGACTAATATTTTAGCTAAAATCTGGGAATTAGACGTTATTCCATCTGACTGGTCGCAATCACTTATCGTCCCAATATATAAGAAAGGGTTAATATCATCCTGTGACAGCCACAGAGGGATTAGTTTAACTAATATAATATCCAAAATACTAGCCTCGATAATTATCAGACGCCTAACTAAGACTCGTGAACTGCAAACACGAGAGAATCAAGCTGGCTTCAGACCTGGTCGTGGCTGCATCGACCACATATTCACCATTCGTCAGGTTCTAGAACATAGGCATACTTATCGGTGTCCGACAATGGTGGTCTTTCTTGACTTAAAATTAGCATTTGACTCAGACCGCGAGATTCTGTGGCAGTGTCTGTCATTGAAAGGCGTACCTCAGAGGTACATAAACCTTGTGAAGCCTCTTTACTCGAACACTACCAGTCCAATCAGAGCTTATGACGAACTGTCATCTGCTTTTGCAACCTCAAGTGGTGTCCGTCAAGGCTGTCCACTTTCTCTATTTTTGTTTAACTTCATCATAGACCTATCGACGGAAATAACATTCTCGTCTGCTGAATTCTCGGGTATTGATCTTCTTCCAGGAGACCCACTTATCGACTTAGAATACGCAGATGATATAGTCCTGTTTGGTGAAGACGCTGACAAAATGCAGAGTCTTCTGGCAGCACTGAGCAACAATGCCAGGATGTTTGGAATGCGCTTCTCTCCCTCTAAATGCAAGTTGTTGCTTCAGGACTGGTCTGCGTTAACACCTGAACTAAGGATAGGGAGTGAAGTAGTCGAACGCGTTGACAACTTCACTTATCTTGGAAGTCTGATCAGCCCTAATGGGTTGGTGTCTGACGAAATCTCAGCACGGATTCGAAAAGCTCGCTTGGCTTTTGCCAACTTACGTCACCTATGGCGAAGGCGAGATATCCGTCTATCAATAAAAGGACGAGTATAGTGCGCAGCAGTCCGTTCTGTTTTAATTTACGGCAGCGAAACATGGCCACTAAGAGTAGAAGACACTCGTAAGCTACTAGTATTCGACCACAGATGCCTTAGAAATATTGCTGGCGTCTGCTGGGATCACCGGGTAAGTAATAGTGAGGCTAGACGCAGGGTGTTAAGGGATGATGGTAAATCAGTTGATGAGGTTATGAATCTTCATCGACTGAGATGGTTGGGCCACGTGTTACATATGCCCGAACACCGATTACCACGACGTGCAATGTTAACCGGTATTGGAGATGGTTGGAAGAAAGTTAGGGGCGGCCAAACCAAAACGTGGCATCAGTGATTGAAGTCACTAACTTCTAGTCTTAGTCATGTTGGTAGATGTAGACTACTTGGTTGGGGTCCGCGTGATTATTTTAACCGATGGTTGGAGACTCTTGGTGACATGGCTCAGAATCGATCACAATAGCGTAGGTGTATACACTCCCTGTCTTCCCTTAAACTAAGAGATTAAAATCGCTTCATATCTTTCTTTGTACGAACTAATTCCTTCTTCCTGTACTATATCCTTGTATGCAATCTTTCTTTTATATATTACCACCTCTGAATTAACTACTTTTATGAATTTGGTGTTCATCTTTTTGTGCTAATGAGGTGTGGCAACTTGGACCGATGCATATATGTGCCTGGTCCTACGTTGTAGCTGACTGACTGACCTCTTCATCTGTTCTTTTTTTTTATTCTACTTTCATTCCCTTCTTTACAACAAGATCTCTTTATTCATGTGGCGCATAATATTTTCTGCGTAGTCTGTTGTACCAAAATTTATATAAAATATGGCACTGTTCAACAGTACCCATCTACAGACCGACCAGTTGGGACTGAACTCAAAACGTTTGAGTTTTGTGGCGAGCACTTAACCTTTTTATCACTGGGTGAGCATCTAGTGATTTACTTTTCTAACTTCATGATACCTTCTCATCTAATTTGAATTTTTCTCCGGTAACAGTTGATCACATCTTGTGGTTATAAATCATTTGTCTATATAATCTATTTGTTGTTATGTTAGTGGTAAATAAAAAAAGGATTAAGAAATACTGTTTTTTAATTGCCCAGTTTTGGGACAATAGTGATTTCTGTTATTCAGATGTGTACAACGCGTATACTGCAATAAATATAAAATTAGAAAATTATCGACTACTACTATTACTACAACCATTACTTGTCCTTGATTTATTGTGTAATCTGAATATTCAATTTTAGCTTTATTTTATTGGTAACCACTTCAACATCATAGAGAAACAGTTCAAGCATTTATCGTTTACATGTCATGAATGCACACTATTAAGGAATGGCTCCTCAAATAACAAGTGAAACAAATGTTTAATGCTTGTTAATTTTCCATAATTCTTTAGCAATTGTCATTTTGTGACAAAATTCACTGTCAGAGTAGAAAGAAAAAAATCTGTATAGGACTATCTCATTTTGTGGTGAGAATAAATATGCCTCAAGACTGAAAAGTATCGTTTCCACAGTTCTCAACCCAGATGGGTTTTTAAAAATATATATATTCGGCAATATATTCATTGTTTTTTGTTGTTGTCCTGATTTAATGTATTCCAATATCTAAAATTATTCTCAATGTATGCATTTTCCAGGTTTAAATACCGTGTATATTCATATCTCACAGTAATTTAAATTATTACCATAGAATTTTGATTAAACAAGATGTCTGAAAAGGCTCAGAGATGTGATTGAGCTTGCATATTCAGCTTCATTATAAACTAATTTAACAATGCGTGTACCTTTGTCTCCAGCGCTTTTAGATTAGAATCATAATGAACGTGTACAGGTGAACGAAATATTATCTACTCTTCAACTAATACACTCGAAAAAATCGGGTGATACTTTCTTTATTGATAAGTTCTTAAAGAATAAATAAGTCATATTCAGCATTATTTAAAATACACTATGATAGATTTAAAGAAAACATATAGGTGATTTTCCTTGACTTTGTACTTTTTCAGAACTGTACAATCTGAAAACAACTTAAAATTAAACATGTCGATCTCAGATCGCACAGTCAGTGCTTCGGTGTTTCACCATCTTGCCGAAACCCAATCAGTATTTTTGTGGGGAAGATAGTATGTCGGTTCATTAAGTTTTTGCTAATAATCCAACTTGAATATTGTTGTGCTGTGGTAAATTATCCCATTTTATGAAACTGATGTAGTAGTAGTAGTAGTATGCCACTTATGACCAGACACTAACTTGAAATATTTATCTAACCTATATCTTAACAGATTCTGACTCATTATCAAAACACTAAGAGGAAATTGTGCCCAATAATTGGAACTAACATTATTTCAACTTTCTTTTAAACGTATCAATGGAAGAATTCTCTAGTGATCTGCCTTTATCAGATGTAATCGTCTGACTAAAACCTAACATTATAAGAGTTATTTTGCCGTAAATCATCTTGTCGTTAGGTGAACATGGTAGTGTATAAAATATGACCAATAATTCATAAGTGTTGTAATTCATTCACATATCTTTCGGGAGTTTTCTTTGTCTCGTCATCGACTGTCGTTTTTCAGTAATGAGTCACCTTGCTTAATATATCATAGTGCAAGTTGTCTATACTAATATTACAGCCTCATTCATCTTTGTGAAGAAAAAATGATAACATTTAATGTGTGTGTACAAAGGTACTCCGTCCAACTTATCACTGTCTATCCTTTCTAGAAAAATATATTAGTATTGTTCTATTGTATATTCACGCCCATGCAAAATAGGCATCTAATTTTTATTATTTCTTTTGTGTTTTACATAAGTGGATGATTCATCCTTAAAACTCTGGTCGATGTTAATATTATGCTCTTTGTTCTATTGTATATGTTGAAAAGTTACTAACACATGGTTATTTGTATTTTGTAGAGTAAATCAACATTTTTTGTGTAAAATTTAAACGTTAAATAATTTTTTCAACTGTGGAAAAATTGTTTAACTACTTGAAACTTATAACACAAATGTTCTGATGAAAATATCCTGCACACTGAGATAGTTAATGACAAACCTTTCTAGATTCCGGATTAAATGTTTTCTAATACACCTCTTCAAGAGTGTCACATTGTTTTGTTCATTCTAATACTATTGGTTAGCAGATTAATTTTAGTTTTAGATACAAAATTGTGTACTGGAAGTAATCGCCAACATACTGCTGAAACATTTGCCACTAACGTTAATGGGAGTAACATATTTGCTTATTAATTTATGTGAAACTATCATGTTCAACCTTGGCATTGATACCTATAAACATCTGCTTATTGATTTGAATAGATTTAGGTACATGGTCATTAACTGATAAATAAAATTGTTTGACAGAACGGAAGATGAAATCAACAGCAAAAAAACCATAGAAACAATAAAAGAACAAACTGAATGTTCCATTTTTATTGGAAAACAGTATAGAGAGAGCTTAAAACAGTTGCAGCCAATTTTAGCCCGTTGTTGTTAGCCAATCAAAAGACAGCTATTGTAAATAGAGATTATGGGAAAGAAATATAATACTATAAAGTGTGAACAAATCATAAATAACTTATGAATCCATTAAATTCTTCTACTAGTTTTTTTATTCGTGAATCCAGAGGTCACCAGATAGATTCGTGCGTATGGAAATAGAACGCCCGCCTTCTTTTAGCCTTAAAAGGATTTTTGGGTTTTGATGTGTTCATTCTTTTCTTACGTAGTCATTTTATTGATAATCTTCATCTAAATATTGCATTATCTATTTCTTATTCTTTTTTAATACCATCTTTCACAGTTTGAAGGTGTTTAAGATATATTCGGCATTCTAATTCAATATTCTAAATTGAGAACACCAACTAATTCAATGATAACTTTGTTATGTATACCCAAATTAAACTGTATGCTGTGATGCAATATTTTCGTTTTGTTTTCATTTTCAACTCCTTTACCAGCTACAAATTTGTGCATTTGGCTTTGAGCCACACTTCAAGCACAATAGCTAAGTGATACTATCCGATACCCCAAACAGAAGTAGGGTGGAGTGGGAGTTCGGATCTGTGGTTTAGTATATGCGAACTTTCGTCTAAATTTGATCGAATAGTTTCACAGTATTTGGGCACTGATTTGATGTGAGATATTAAAGAGGAAGAATGTATTTGTAAAATCTTAGCGAATGAATTTGAAGCAAATCCAACATTTCACCTGGCAATTCGGTCCAAGCTTTTTCAGGGAAATTTAATCAAACATCAAAATTATCGAATATAAATTTACATTCGATTTTACAAATATATTCTTCCTCTTTAATGTCTGAGGTTTAGTGGTTAAATGCTGGATTCTCTAACTCGTTGAACCGCCGTCCCAATATTTAGATATTTCTAACTGTATAGAGCTTAAAGAAGTTATTGAAAACAATTGTTCACTTAAATACTCTTTATTTTACAAAGATATATGAACGACTTTCAAAATAATTATAGTCTTACGATCCATGAGCTCCATATACATGCCTAACTAGTTATATTTTCACATTTTTTGTAATATCATTGTTGTTGTTGTGTGTGTGTACTGATTGCCATTCAACAACGTGGACCGAAATGATTTATAAATAAATTGGTGAACAACTCTGAAGACGAAGGATGACGATGCACTGATGAATTCTTACTATCCACTTTTTCAGTACATCTATTCCTTTCTTTTTTAAGCTTAAAATAAGTTGTTAAAACACTTTCTAAAACTTACTGATTAATTATTATTGTTTTCTATTTCAAAAAATCATCTTATTAGGTAAAATCATATTATTTAAAGTGGCTATTGTTTTATTGAATCGTTTATTTGGACATCCTTCTCACCGTAAATCATGTCAAGGACTTGACGATATTCTTATGAGATTACGTGAAGTATCATCTGTTGTTGGCAAATTGGATAATTTCATCCGTGAAGTAAGTTAAACATAAATAATATTTGTATAGCAGGCTTTCATTTTACTTGGCAATTGAAGTGAAATGAATGTCTTATTGATTAGTTAGTTGTCCATTTTTGTAGAGCAGTGAATACGTGTAACTTTGTAAGCTTCCGGACACCACTCTTCCTATCTCTCTCTTTATCCCACATCATATTCTAAAGCACATTCTGTTGTTGCAAGGATAAATAAATATTGTTATTCTTAATGTTGTGTAAAAGCTCATACTACTGTTTGCGTTCACTTTTAATGTAGCAGTCGAACTGATCAACTTATTAATATTAAATATTGCATTCTAGTGAATTAACTAACTTTTGTTTCATTATTCAGCTAAACAAAACATGAAATATAATTATCAATAAGTGTATATTTTTGATATGTAGTATCGCTGTTTAGAATGGACCAGTCTACTTTCGTTATCGACGCCACAATTCAAAATACTCGATTTGTTAGATAAATACTACATCATTCTCATTTAGTCCAGATTCTCAATGTTATATCAGCTAGCTTATTTATCTTATTTTGAAACGTTACACCTGACTTCAGTTTTGCTGGTTCGTTAGTTTCATTGTGTGTACGCCGATCATGATATATGTTCTAAAGACAAGTTGAAATTCTCTTATTTCCACTTATATTTTTTCAAAACAATTAAGTTCAATCATTGCTAAGTATCACATTGATTGTAATTGTATTTTATGGCTTACAACCTACCGATACGCATCGACGACCTTAAGTAACCAATACACAGCAAATGAGAGGGAGATCGATACTCTATATCTGACGGTCGGCTTAAGACTAACTAGCCTCGAACGAAGAGGAATGATACAAGACCAATGATCACTAGTTAAAAATCGTCTTCATATTTTAGATACTCATTTATATAAATGCAAGACTAGACCACAAAACAGACCAATTGAGTAACAGTATTAAGACGGAACAACCACATAATTGGTGAGAAAAACGGAGTACTGGGTACACAAATAATCGGTTCTGGTTTATAAATGTAAAATGACATAGCAATAATTTACGGTTCAAATAAAAGCTTGGAACAAGAGTAATACGAAAATAATAAAACCAAAATACTTAACAAATATGCGATATATATAATCGTAGAAAAGTAACTTCGAAAGTCCTTATCTCATAGTTATCTACAATACTGTATATTTCTTAAATAAACTTGGAATATCTGAGGATGATAGAACTACAGAACATTGAGCGACTGACTGTTTCTTGAAAGTATGAATTATCTTTTCCCGATCGAAGCTGCTACCTTGACGCGGTGGTCGGGCTTGCCTATCGTGATGACCCAACCGAGCTATATTGGCTGGAACATATGTTCCTGCAGGTTCTACCATGCCAGGCAGGTCGATTGGCGAACGGTAAGACTAAAAGCAGCAACTCAAGGTCTGAGGGCGAAGTCGTACTGCTGACTGTACAGAGGTGTGACAGCAGTAAGGTGTTTCCCTCGGACAACCAGCATGACAGCGATGCTGCCTTCCCACAAGGAGGGGTGGGGTTAGAAAAGGTCGACCCTAAAAATGCACACCTCACCTTACCTCACGGATTTCCGTCTCCGGCGGTAAGGCCCCTTGAAGAACGGAGCTAACACGTCAAAAACCTTCCACAAAAAGGCCGTGCGCGACCGGCCTCAAGCAGTTGTCCCTTGGGCTCTGCGGTCACGCTCCCAGGTCGTCAAAACCAACACTAATCCAATTTCCTTTTCAGGTTCCTCAAGAAATACCCTTCCACGGTGTGGGCAGCCGGGAAGTGACATCAGCCCTCATACCCGTAACAGCACAAGAGACCAAGGTGGTCACATTCAAATCCTTCCTACACCTCCTAATACCTCTCTTATCCTCCCGACTAACCCTCCTCACGTCTCTTTATCTCCTCGCACCGCTAGGGCAAACGATTCGAGTACGTGGAACGCCATTCCTGGTCTCCTGAAACCACGCTCTAAACTACACGTAGGAGCTTTTAACGTACGAACACTTTGCCAAATAGGACAGCAGGCTTCCTTAGCTAAAACTTTAGAATCTCGCGCCATCGATATGTGCTGCGTCTCCGAAACGCGCATACAGGATCCAAGTAGTGTCATTCATTTGACCTCACCATGCCAAAATAAAGAACCGACTCGATTTACGCTTCGTGTATCTGGAAGCCCTGATTCTGCTTCCCGTGGCCTCGCCGGCGTAGGTATAGCATTGAGTCCTAGGGCAGAACTAGCTCCTTTAGAGTGTATCCCAGTAACAGTCGTTTGTGCGCTGTCCGACTGAACGGAACAGTAAGGATCCGGAAAGATAGGGACACTCGTCGTTGCCTCTTCGTCGTCTCTGCCTATTCTCCCACTGACTGCAGCTCAGATGATGTAAAAGATGAGTTTTACAGAAAGCTTTCGGACCTTCTCCGAAAAGCTAAGCGCTCGGATGTAGTAATAGTGGCCGGTGACTTTAATGCTCAAGTAGGTAAACTAAGCGATAAGGAAAGACACCTAGGTGGATCTTATGGTGTCGTGGCTCAAAGAACAGATAATGGCGACCGTCTGTTGCAGCTATGCTCAGATAACCGCCTGTTCCTTGCAAATACTAACTTTAAGCATAAGGAAAAACATCTTTTAACATGGCGACCCCCTAATTCGTCCCAACGTAGGACCCAAATAGATCACATCGCTATCAGCCACCGATGGAGGGGCTCGATAGAAGACTGTCGCTCATTCTGGAGCACATGCCTAGATTCGGATCATGCTCTAGTGCGAGCGCGTATTTGCTTGCGTCTTACTGGACGTAGGAAAGGCGCTGCAAGGAAACCTCTTAGGGCCTACTTAATGATAGTCAAGCTAAGAATATATTTCAGGAACAACTAGGAAAACAGTTAGGCAGCCATGTATGTGATGCCCACCCCGAGGCAGCATGGAATGATATCCGAAAAGCTGTGGAAACAGCAGTGATATCTGCTAGTAAGGTAAACCGTAAAGTTAGGGAGCAACACTGGATCTCAGCAGCATCTATCGCACTGATAGATGCTCGAAAACTCATTCCACCTGGCTCTGAACATAATGAAGAGCGGAGTCAGCTTAAGCGCAAGCTGACAAGAAGTCTACGCAATGATGGTGAACAGTGGTGGGTAGCGAAAGCAAGAGAGATGGAAAAGGCAGCGGCAATAGGTAATAGCAGACAATTGTTCAGACTCGTTAAGGAAACCGGAATTAGGAACCCGACCGTTAGCGAAACAATCTCAGAGAAAGATGGACATATTATTCATTCTCAATCCAGGAGATTGGATCGATGGGCAGAACACTTTAGGGATCAGTTCAACTGGCCTTCAGCCACACTTCGGTTTCCCACGATCTCCAGTCAACCTGAATGGCAAGTTAATGTAAGTCCTCCGTCCCTTTGCGAAGTTGAAAAAGCCATAGGAAATCTGAAGCGAAGGAGAGCAGCAGACCCTAACAGGTTTACTCCTGAGATTTTTAAGGATGGTGGTTCAGTATTAGCTGTGGGATTAGCTGAGGTCTTAGGTAGGATTTGGGAACTGGACGTAATCCCATCTGACTGGTCTCAATCACTGATTGTGCCAGTCTATAAGAAAGGACAAAAGTCCTCTTGTGACAATCACAGAGGAATCAGTTTGACTAATATAGTGTCTAAAATATTAGCTTCAATAATACTTCGACGCCTAACCAAAGCTCGTGAAGAGCAGACTAGAGAAAACCAGGTTGGTTTTCGACCTGGACGTGGTTGTATCGATCAGATATTCACACTACGTCAGGTTCTAGAACACAGACACACATTCAGACGCCCCACAATGGTAGTATTTCTCGACCTTAAGGCGGCATTCGACTCTGTTGATCGTGAGGTTCTATGGCAGTGTTTGTCACTGAAAGGAGTACCAAAGAAGTACATTAACCTTATAAAGGCTCTCTACTCGAACACAACTGGTCGAGTGAGAGCTTATGGCGAACTGTCATCAGAATTGATTACCTCAAGTGGTGTTCGTCAGGGCTGTCCACTCTCCCCATTCTTGTTCAACTTTGTCATTGACGTACTTTTAGAGATAACACTCTCCTCATCTAAATATACAGGGGTTGAACTTCTACCAGGAGGTTCACTTGTTGACTTAGAATATGCAGATGACATAGTTTTATTTGGTGAAGACGCTGACAAAATGCAGAGTCTTCTGACCACTCTAAGCAACAATGCAAGCATGTTCGGGATGCGATTCTCTCCCTCGAAATGCAAAATGTTGCTTCAGGATTGGGTTACATCGACACCCGAACTAGTGATAGGGAGTGAAGTAGTTGAGTGTGTCGACCGCTTCACTTATCTTGGAAGTCTCATCAGCCCTTGTGGTTTGGTGTGTGACGAAATCTCAGCACGGATACAGAAGGCTCGACTAGCTTTTGCCAACTTGCGTCATTTATGGTGTAGGCGAGATATCCGTCTATCAACCAAAGGACGTGTTTACTGCGCAGCAGTTCGTTCCGTCCTACTTTATGGCAGTGAAACATGGCCGGTAAGAGTAGAGGATATCCGTAGGTTACTAGTATTTGATCATAGGTGTCTTCGAAACATTGCTCGTATATCATGGGACCATCGAGTAAGTAACACAGTTGTTAGGAAACGGGTACTAGGTAAGGATGGCAAATCAATTGATGAAGTAGTGAAACTTCATCAGTTGAGATGGCTGGGACACGTGTTACGTATGCCCTACGACCGACTGCCTCGACGTGCTATGTTCAGTGGTATAGGAGTAGGTTGGAAGAAAGCTAGGGTCGGCCAAACCAAAACATGGCACAAATCCATGAAGTCACTGACAAGTGGACTGAGTCATGTTGGTAGGTGTAGACTACCTGGTTGGGGACCGCGAGATGATAGCAACCGATGGTTAGAGACCCTGAATGACATGGTTCAAAATCGTTTGCAATGGCGCAGGTGCATCCACTCTCTGTGTTCTCCCAAATTCTAATCTTCTGAATTCTTC